ATTTATTTGTTTGTTTACTTACCACCATCTATTGATGGAAACTAAACCACCAGCAACTAAACAAAGCTTGGATGTGTTGAAATGAAATATAAATGTGTGTCTTTTTTCAGTCTAGTAAATTAATTTAGAATGAACTTTTGCTCAGGATGACAGACATTATGAACCACATTTTATACCAGCAGGTGGCGGTAATGAACATCATGTTGTTGGCCAACCGCCAAACTGAACAAGAAGAAGAAGAAGAAGAAGCAATAGCAACAGAAGAAGAATTTCATAATGGCGGCAGGACTTATTTGAGTCGAGCGGAGCGAATATCCAACCTAAATTTTCGCCGAGCTGTAGAAAGTGGAGACAGTGAGTCAGACAGACTGGARGAWCCTGTGGAGAGAACATTTCTAAGAAGAACTGGAGCGTTGGAGAGGAAATGAGCTCAGGTTTGTTTTTTTTCCCTTCAAGACAACGTTAGCTAGCTGTAGCTTTTATGTAGCTAACATGTTTAGCAATAACCAGTGAGGTAAATGATCATCGATTGAACTGGATCAGCTGCGTATTAAAGAGCACCGTCACCGTGTATCTGTATGAATCAGATGTATATAGAGCCCAAGAAAAGGAAGATTAACACATCAGAAACTGAATGTCTAATTCAGTTCTACATATCAATGAACATGATGCCTGTGTCCTGTGGTACGAAAGAGACGCCATCTTGTGAGGGGCAGGCTGTAAATAATGTATGATAGAGAGCTTTCTGCCTAAAACATCATAAATGTCAGTTTTTCGTCAATTTTTTGATCATTCACCATGAAGGAAGTTAGACTTTCATCCAAGCATCACAAGCTGAATAAGGAAATTCTGGGTAGAAAAACATTTGTTTAATACTAGAATAAGTATTCACTCAAGCAAACTGTCATTTATAAAAGATTATGCATGGATTGCTGCAAATACTTTCAAATAAAATAAAAAAAATTATTTATGAAAATTATTGGTTTTCCACGTTTTTTGAATGATCATGAAGCTATTATTGTAGATAAATCAGAGAGCTCAACAGGACAAAAACTGTCCAGACATAAATCAGGTTCTAGTGACACTAAAGCTGCCTCATCTGAAAGAGAATCAGAGACAGTAGCAGGAAATTTGGCATGAATTTTATCCCTTATTAAAATTGTTTTATCTATAAAGAATCTCATGAAGTCATCACTACTTAGAGTTGTAGGGATACATGTTTCAACAGAGATAAGACTTTTCATTAGTCTAGCTACAGTACTGAACAGAAACCTGGGAATTTTTTTATTCTTTTCTATTGTAGTGATATTCTGTTGTAGATGTAATGGACGATTGCTAAATCATAAATACCTCGTAGTTATTAGCATAATAAAGGGGGCACCACCTGATAATTCAGGAAATTAATTTATAGATTTAAGTCAGTCTCAATTACTGAGTAGTGAATTCTACCATTTTCAAGAGCGAAACCCAATAAAT